ATCTTTGCTACACTGATAACAATATGACATATTGTTAATGGCAGGCAGGGTTTCCCTACCAATATGGCAATATGTACAATATGCCATATTGAATATGCTAAACCTATCAAAACCTGTCCTGATACACTCGATTGTAAGAACTTGTGTCACTGTCCCATTTATGGTACAGCTGTCCGTAAGCTAAGCTGTGCTAGATATTCATATATTCTGTGATACTAAACGTAAACGAGTTATTCATCCTCGAGTCGAGTGTATCGTATTAACGGTTACATGATGACTTGTGCTATCTATGTAGGTCACTCCTCGACAGTTACGTGCCAACACGGATGATCCGTCACTCATCCGTCCCATCTGCGTGACTCAAAGAGGGTAGTTTACGCGTACACTTCGACACGCCGAAGCACAACGAATTGCTCATCTTAGTGGCTTACAATGAAACTCCTCGTATCATCATTTTGGTTCTTCTTGTGCGATCTTTTCTACGTTGAAGCAGAAGTGGGCGAAAATGGCCATTTCCGAGGGCTCGGTCCTGTGAACGGTGATCCTAACGACAGACTCTATTATAGGCAGAAGGATTATCTTGAGGCCATCTCTATACCGGAGGCTTGGAGTATCCTGGACTCTACTCCCAAGAGAACACCTGTGACCATCGCAGTTATAGACGACGGAATCGAGGCCGCTCACCCTGACTTGAAGGGTACCGTCATCAAGGGCTACAACGTCGTTGATAAGAATGATGATACCAGTCCTCGAGGACGGCATGGCACTTGCATGGCTGGCATCGTTGGTGCTATCAGAAATAACAAGATCGGCATGGCGGGTATCCTGGACAGTGTGCGTATACTGCCCATATTCGACGGTGAAGTTCTGAGCTACTCTGCAATCGAGGATGCTTTCACCTATCTGATCAATAAGAGGAGAGATGATGTGAAAGTTATTCTCATGACGGAGGTATCCGGATCAAGTAGGTCTCAAGCTGTTACCGACAAGATTTTGGAAGCGGCTTCAGCTGGCAT